TTAGGGTGAGAAAATGGAGGTGTCCTTGCATGCTTTTGATGGTTGGAGTGTGTTTAGCATGGGCAGAAAGATGAGGTGCGCAGAAAGATCCACTCAAGGAAGGGTTTTTCAAAATTGCCATCTTTCGAATGGAAGCTTTCCCAGAAATTAGGGTTAGGAATATGCACCAGGTTAGGGTCAGGGTTAGGAAAACGCGGTGTCCTGGCATGCTTTTGATTGGTGGATTGTGTTTAGCATGGGCAGAAAAGATGAGGTGCGCGGAAAGATCCACTGAAGGAAGGGGTTTTCAAAATTGCCGTCTTTTGAATGGAAGCTTACCCAGAAATTAGGGATAGTTATATGCACCAGGTTAGGGTTAGGGTTAGGAAAACTCGGTGTCCTGGCACGCTTTTGATGGTTGGAATGTGTTTAGCATGGGCAGAAAAGATGCGCTGCGCCGAAAAATCCACTCAAGGAAGGGTTTTTCAAAATTGCCCTCATGAATGCAAGCTTACCCCGAAATTAGGGTTAGGAATATGCACCAGGTTAGGGTTAGGGTTCGAAAAAGGAGGTGTCCTGGCATGCTTTTGATGGTTGGAGTGTGTTTAGCATGGGCAGAAAGATGAGGTGCGCAGAAAGATCCACTCAAGGAAGGGTTTTTGAAAATTGCCCTCCTTGGATGCAAGCTTACCCAGAAATTAGGGTTAGGAATATGCACGAGGTTAGGGTAAGGGTTAGAAAAAGGAGGTGTCCTGGCATGCTTTTGATGGTTGGAATGCGTTTAGCATGGGCAGAAAAGATGAGGTGCGCAGAAAGATCCACTCAAGGAAGAGTTTTTCAAAATTGCCGTCTTTTGAATGGAAGCCTACCCAGAAATTACGGTTGGGAATATTCACCAGGTTAGGGTTAGGGTCAGGAAAACGCGATGTCCTGGCTTGCTGTTGATTGTTGGAATGCGTTTAGCATGGGTAGAAAAGATGAGCTGCGCCGAAAAATCCACTCAAGGAAGGGCTTTTCAAAATTGCCATCTTTCGAATGGAAGCTTACCCGTAAATAAGCTTAGGATTATGCACCAGCTTAGGGTTAGGGTGAGAAAATGGAGGTGTCCTTGCTCGCTTTTGATGGTTAGAATGTGCTTAGCATGGGCAGAAAAGATGAGGTGTACAGGAAGATCCACTGAAGGAAGGGGTTTTCAAAATTGCCGTCTTTTGAATGGAAGCTTACCCAGAAATTATGGATAGTTATATGCAGCAGGTTAGGGTTAGGCTTAGGAAAACGCGGTTTCCTGGCACGCTTTTGATGGTTGCAATGTGTTTAGCATGGCAGAAAAGATGAGCTGCGCCAAAAATCCACTCAAGGAAGGGTTTTTCAAAATTGCCCTCATGAATGCAAGCTTACCCAGAAATTAGGGTTAGGAATATGCACCAGGTTAGGGTTAGGGTTCGAAAAAGGAGGTGTCCTGGCATGCTTTTGATGGTTGGAGGGTGATTAGCATGGGCAGAAAAGATGAGGTGCGCAGAAAGATCCACTCAAGGAGGGGTTTTTCAAAATTGCCGTCTCTTGAATGGAAGCTTCCCCAGAAATTAGGGTTAGGAATATTCACCAGGTTAGGGTTAGGGTTAGGGTTAGGGTTAGGGTTAGGGTTAGGGTTAGGGTTATC